ACAAGAAGAGAAGTATGGCAAAGATAGGCCTGATAAACCGGTCAGGATTTACTGACTAGCCGTTGTTGATTACTTACGTCGCGTTTTGTAGAATAATCTTGTAAGCTGGCTATTAGACGAGGCTAAGGGTCCACAAAGGAATATCGATGACTTGGCCATTCGTGTTCTCACTATAAATTTTGCAGCTATACATACTACTACGAATGTGAGTCGATTACGTTTGAGTTGCTTTTTTTTAATGACTCTCTCACAGGCTTTGACACATGTACTTTACAACCTGGCTGCACACCCCGAGTACGCCGCGCCGATGCGGGAGGAAGTCGAGGCTGTCATAGAGGTGGAAGGCTTGAATAAACTTTCTATGACGAAGATGCGCAAGGTGGACAGCTTTATCAAGGAATCTCAACGGCTGGCGATAGGTGGAGGTAAGTTGCAAGTGGTATATCTTTATTGCTGCATTGAATCTTGGTGTGTCCGAAGTCTCGATGAACCGGAAGATTCTCAAGGACTTCACATTTTCGAACGGCATCACCCTGCCGGCTGGCACGATTGTAGCTGTCGCAACCTATTCTACCCACATGGATGACGTATGCCAATTTAATTTAGTTAGGGTAATTCTGAAACTCACGTCTTTCCAATCATTTGAAGCAAAACTATGATAGCGCGCGAGAATTTCAAGGATTCAGGTTCGCCAATTTGCGTGATGAAGACGGGGAAGGCCTTAAGCACCAGTTCGTTGCACTTGAACAAAACTTCTTGACGTTTGGTGGAGGAAGGCACGCTTGGTACGCATTACTTTTCTCCTCGTCGTGTCCGACGTTAAGTAATGAGATGTACAGTCCTGGTCGTTTCTTTGCTGCCAATGAACTGAAGGCAATGCTGGCCTACGTGCTACTCAACTATGATATCAAATTCCCCGATGACGGCCCACGACCGCAGGACGTATGGATTCAGGCTGTCGCTTCGCCGAACAGGAAGGCGGAAGTAATGTTTAAAAAGCGGAAGTCAACAAATTTCGTCTAGCTTTGAAGCCTTTTGCTATCTTTGTCAGTGTCCTTGTCTGTTTTAATGCTTCCAGATGAAGAATAAAGATAATGGTTCAAATCGGAAACGCTGAGCCAGATTTGTCCGCAACAAATACCTCGTATGGCAATTACTATACTGACAGACGCATGCTTTAGCCGGAATCAATAGAGTCAACACCACCCCAATGCCCGAGAGAATCTTAAGGCTGAAATCGTGTGCCCGGTCAGGTACTCGGCCCGCAGCCCTGCTTGTGCTGGACCAGTCTAAGCCTATTTCTGATTTATCAGACGGGCCCAAAACGTACCTGTCAAAGGATTTGTGAACCTATCGACCAATTGGCAGGTGGCAAATAAATACCCGTTACTTGAGGAGAATCGCTCTAAAATTTCCGCCGATCCCAAAATGTCGTTTATGCCGTCGACATCCATTCCTGCTCTTGTAGTGCTGCTGACCAGCTATCTACTTTCAAAATGGTTGCATGCAACTACGCATCAGGCAAGTCTTTGGTCGCTCTGAAAGTGGCAAAGTTATCACTGACACTTCACGACGCATGTAGCTTAGACACATTCCTACCATAGGGTCTTCTGGGGTAATGTTTTCATATTACAATGCATTCAAGTTCATATTCCGCGGCCACGATATGATTCAGAAAGGATATAACGAGGTATATATTTTATCCAGTTCACCCTCCACGAAGAGATAAAGGGAGCAATATATCGTCTAACTGCATGCCAAGTACCACGGAACCGCTTTCAAAGTTCCGACTCTTTCTAGGTGGTTAGTTATGGTCAGCGGTCCGCAAATGATAGATGACATCCGACGAGGCGACCAGCTCTCCTTCACGGAGGCAGTTTCTGAGGTAAGTATTCTCCATTTTCCGGGGCTTTCGTGCCAGACCTTCCACCAGATCGTGCACACGGACTATACAATTGGGCCGCAAATACGAGTCGATCCCTATCATATCGGAATCATCAGGACGCCTCTTACAGAAAATCTTGGGGCCCGCTTTTTAGATATAAAAGACGAGATTATAGTGGGTTTCGGCGACCATATTCAAACCAAGGAAAATGGTGAGTAGATTCTTTAGGCATACCTTTCCAGACCGCCGTGATAGACAACTTGAACTATTGACCATTTCAGAGTGGATTTCTATATCAACACTTGATACTGCAATGAAAAGTGTCAGTAGGACAAGCAACCGTTTATTCGTCGACCTGCCCTTGTGTGAGCCATATGCGAACATCCACCTTCGAAAATTTGCTTACCGACCAAATTTCTGCAGGCCGAAATGCAGATTTCACTAAACTTGCCGAGGATTTTACAATGGATGTAATTGGGGGAGGTCTCATTATCAACGTATTTCCGGACATACTTAAACCGTGAGTAGTACCTTTTTTTCATTAACAATGTACTCAGAAAATGTACGTGCCAGTCTTGTGAAGAATATTGTAACCAGAGTCCCTAGAAGCATTCAGCGGGCAATTTCACATACCGGCCCTTTATTTCAGGCTCAGATGGAGAAAGTTGAACGGGAGCAAGGGGAGTTGCCAGAAAGACCGGTAAATTCGCAACACCACTTACCACCGTCTTTTAACTTTATCCTGGTCTCGCCTTGTCTAGAATAATCTCATTACATGGTTGTTGCAGGAGGCCCAAGATCCTTCGCGACGAAACATTTACGACCTTTCCGTGCGCCTCCTTACGGTTAACTTCACAGCTATTCATACTACATCAGTGGCATGTATTGTGGCGTCAGGGTCGCGATCCGGACTGACATTTGTTGCAGGCATTGACGCCTTTACTATACGACCTGGCAGCATACCCACAATACGTTGAACCCATGCGTGAGGAGGTTCAAATGATTTTAGGCGCCGAGGGCTGGACTAAGACTTCTGTGCTTGGGTTGCACAAATTGGATAGTTTCATCAAGGAGTCACAGCGCTTAGCAATTGGAGGACGTGAGTTTGACCTCCTCTTCAGTGTACTCATTAATTTTTCTTCTTTTATCAGTGCAAATGAATCGCAAAGCAATGAAAGATTTTACTTTTTCAAACGGTATCACGATTCCTGCTGGCACTCATATTGCAGTGGCGACATATGCGGCCCACATGGACGAGGTGATTCCCTCTTCCCAGACGTCGAATTAATGATAACATATATCTTGCCTTTTTAGAATATATATGAAAAATCCAAAGGAGTTTCAAGGCTTCCGATTCGCGGAGATGCGGCAAGCGGAAGGAGAGGATAAACACCAGTTGGTCTCCCTCAGTCTGGACTTCCTGACTTTTGGAACTGGACGGCATGCTTGGTACGTTTTATTCCATATGTTTGACCAAAGTGCTTGGTGAGATGATGTGGTTGTTCTCAACAGCCCAGGCCGATTTTTTGCTGCGATGGAGCTCAAAACTATGCTCGCCCACATTTTGATGACATACGACGTTAAATTACCCGACGGATGTTCTCGACCAGACAACCTTTGGTTTCAAGCCACATCCTCTCCCAACAGGAAAGCGCAAATTCTTTTTAGGAAGAGAATGATGTAATCCATATACGCCCAATCTTAATTATTATTATTATTACCGAGAGCAAAGGCAGTCTGTCGTTGTAAGTTGCATTTAAGGCGCTCCCATGCAATGGCAGTGTTACATTACTGTACGTAATCAGGTACCCGGTCACCTAAGGACGTTTTATCTAACTGCTCATGTAAAACTGCATGAAACCGCGCAAATTTTTTTGCAACACTGAATATTTGATATATTTAATGCCTATGCGAAGTTAGGAATTTTTAGAGTATGTTGCTGCCTCTGTATGAATATTTTGTTTTTGCGAGTCGAGAGCCGGCCGGCCTACCAGGTACTCGGCCACCCTGAACTAATACAAATTTGTATTGATGCTTTTCGGTTCATTACGTTTTATCACTATTTAAGATCGCAACCTGTAATAGGAAATACTCCATTTCAAGGCATCCAAAAGTAATCTGTCTCTAACTCAGCCAGTTCTATTCCGATTCCCACAAAATCTTTTGGAATCTCCAAAGTAGATTACATAGAAAATTCTTTTTAGCTTTAAACACGAGATCTCTGCAACCCCTAAATTAATAAAATCTCTTCTTAAAATGTCTGGATTTTGTTGGCTTGACGGCGAAATGGCCGCCTGCAGTGAGATAGTAATGCGAAAAAAATCCAAAAGGTATCCAATATGTTGCTACAATTCCAGAACAAATATTTGACAGAAAAAAATTGGGTATACTCTGGTTTAATGATCTAAGCACAAGTCATCTTGCTGCTGCTGCAGAGCTTAAAATATGTTCTTCTAATGCGGCTGAAAGTATATCAAATATCTACAGATCAAGTACCTCCTGTTTCTTTGTACTCAGATGAATTTATAGTTTGAAGGGGTGCAATTGAGCACAGTACTTTTATTTTACCATTGGTATAAGTTTCATCGCTTCATGTGCGCAAGATCTCGCCGCAACGTGTTCTATTTTAAGAAATGGACCCTGTTGGCTGGCCGACTACTCTTCCACCGACTTTCTCCCTTCCACAATTTACCTTTCTCAAATTTTAACAGTGCAGTCGCATAGAGGTTACTTAGTGCTACCTGTAGATACTAATTTTATCACTAATTGACTACATCTTGACTCTGCAGAAAATGAATGACCGAGTACCCAGGGTGACCGGGTACCTGATTACGTACGGTATCCTTTAGTGTAACTAACTTGCTGTCGGCCTTATGGTCTAGTAGCATGATTCCTCCTTTGGGTTAAGTTTCTGATTGGAGGAGGTCCTGGGTTCAATTCCCAGTGAGGCCCTGTTTTTGTTCCTGAATATTTAATTTGAACCTAATTGCTTTAGATGTGGACTCTCTTCTCGTGCTGTTGACCTTTTATTTAAAGTAATTGCGCCGTAAGGGCACTTTACGAGGTCATCTTTACCCAATCGAGTTACTATGACCGACGGTAAACTCCCCTTATAGGTTCAATGGTCTAGTGGTTATGATTTCTGTCTCACACACAGAAGGTCCCCTGTTCGATCCTGGGTTGAGCCACTTTTTGTTCGTCGTTCTCAGACGAGTATTGACCGCGACATACTCCAGAAGTATGCATTTGTGGTGCCTTTTCTTATGTTACTTTTTCAACGCTTGGTAAAGCACATGACCCCAGTCATTAGTACGATGTTTGTGGTATATTAAAAACATAATCATCGTTATCATATCGCACGTCCATTTGTCGGCTAAAAGTCTATGAAAGAAGAAAGAGGAGTGAAGGTGGGTGTGGTTTTGTTGTCAGGGATTGTAGAACTAGTCTATGATCCACTCGTAATGGTGACCCCAAGAAATCGGTTGACGACGGTTCAAGGTCGAGAGCTTTTTCATACACGCAGCAGGTATGCTCCACACAGTATAAATACAAAGTGACACCCAAAGGGAAGGAAGAGGTTAACAGGAGCTAAATATCCATGGTCATACGGATCAAGCTGAACCGGATTCCCTATGGCCTGGGCGATATCCGCACGTCCGTCAAGGAAGAATCTGGTATTGGGGAATGACTGTTGCTCCGCGACCCATGCCTCGATGGCGGTAGGGGAGAACTCGAACCTGGTCGTTGGGGCTGCTGCCGCCGTGTTCCTTTATTGAGAAGCATCCGTCGGTCGAATGCGTGTTCATCCTCTTCCCATTCCTCCTCTGGAAGTTGTTGCAGGTCTCCGCTGGGTTGTCGTATATGTTGTTGGGAATGCACTGCAGAACCATTCTGTGCCGGAATGTCCCCATCCGGGCCCTCAAATGCATTGAATAGCGTTGTTGATTGCGCTCTGTACAAAGAGCTCTGCCGGCCGTGTCTACCGGGTCGTCCAGCATTAACGCCTCCCATGTGGATGTCCATCCCACGGTCCGCGGGAACGTTCCATCCGTCGAGCGACATCCGGCCCTGTAAGCTCAGACGTGGATTCATGAGACCTCCCTCTAGTGCTGAATGGCTATGAGGTTGGCCGTTGATATGGTCGAGTGGTGGCTCTGGTACACGTGAGAGGTTCAACAGATGGACACCGAGGAAGGTCACAATGAAGCCTGTGAGTAGGGAGAATGTATTGGCTGCATCGGCGGTGTTGAATCCTTGGAAAAGAATGAGGGAGGCGACGATAGTACAGGTCGAGAAGCCGACATAGTAGAGTGGGTTGACACTGAAAATGAGCAGGAGTTAGCAACGCGCAGTAGAAATGGCTGCTGCTGCGGAATCGAGCTGAACAGACTTACACATTAGTGGAGAAGGTATCTAATGCCTTGTTGAAGTAGTTCATTTGCACCATGATGGATATCGCAACAACGAGCATGAAAACGTATGTGCTGGTATGGGTAAATTGGTTATTACCGTCGAAGGTCAGTTTGACGGCAACGCCAAAGCCTTTGATGGCCATAACACTGACTGAACCGACGAGAGAGCAAATTGAAATGTAAATGACGGGATTCGATCGTCCGTACTTCGGGACGACCTTGTAAATCATGACTAGTGTGAATACTACGACAGTTAAGCAGTAGAGGAGGAAACCTTTGGGAACGTTGTAAGGGACAATAGCAGAAGAAATAATGACACAGGGCTCACCAGGTTGGATAGCGAACTCAAGAATGTCATCGACCGTCCGAATTGGTTTGTCTTCAGGGGCATGGAGAACAATGATAAGAGATCCCAGCAGACATAACGTGCATCCTACACGTCCCAGATGTCCCAGTTCCTCCCCGAGCAGAAATGAAGCAAGAACGGCACTGAGGAACATGGGATTGAGAGAGCTTGAAAATTCAAAAGCAAAGGGATTCCATACCCGATCAAAACACTGAGTGCGCCAAGTGGTGTTACTAATATAGGAGGGGCGAATGTATATGCGGCAAAGTTTGCAACTGGTAGTTAGGGAGTGTGAGGGACACCATGAGCCATGTTGCCATTGTTCTGAAAATATGGTGCTCACTTTCACCAATAACCACTGGAGGACAGAGAAAAGCGGGGTGTTAGCGGGCGGAATAAGAAATAGAAGATGATCCACGAACTCGTCACCATGCCTAACCACCAAATTGGATTCCTCAAGTATGATAGATTGTCCGAAGCCTGCGCGCCGTAGGCATTGCCCACCGCAGCATCATTTAAGCCCTACGAAAAGAGAAGGTAAGAAAAGATGCAAACAGAATATTATACGACGCAACGGGAATGTACAGTTGAGCAGAAAAAACATACCTTTTTCGTGATAATAAAGCTGGATCCGATGCCAACTGAACCGGCCAGAGCGAGTAGTAACCCGATGTATTTATCCTCCATGGCCGTTCCACCAGCAATTCAGAGGGTATGATATTCGTTACCGGAGGCCAGAGGGAAATACGAAAGGCCGGCGCAGGAGAAAGGAAATAATAATATGATAGTCGTGCGCTGGAACCACGAATGACATTGACAATGCCACATGCATTCGACATCACGTGATACAATTATTTCTGTTAAGCTTGTTTCTCTTATACTCCTCGCATCTCTTCGCAAACATTCGTCTTTTCCCTTCTAGGCTCTGGTCCCACAGGAAAGACGATAATTGTCTTTCACATATTCTTACGTATTCGCTCAGGTTAAGAGCTGTTACTTATTGGAGTGTGAAATCCAATTCCTCGGCACAGCAGCAAACTTTGGCTTTACCTCATCATCCTCTAGGTTTAAAGCCTCGGGAAAATCAGTGTTCCTTTTTCGATGATTTCTTCGCCGAATACCACGTAGTCTCTTGTAATAGTCATTACAAATGATAGTACGTATGACACCAGCCTGAGTTGCAGGGTTTGCATATCTTTAACGGAGGACGCTCATTATCCTGTTCACAATTGCTATTTAGAAGGCAAAGTTGAACTTCTTTGAGCGGTATGTCATTCAAATCGAAGTTTGAAGTATCCTTAGATTCATTTCTCACTGACAGTCTGTTCAGACGCATCTGATATTGCATAGGAACCCGCCCACGCTTATCAAGATTTCGTGTCAACACTGAGCTTCGCATCTACTTCACCCATGCCCACCGGCATCCCTCAAGAAATCAAGGACGAGATCATAAAATGCCTCGACATCGACAAAGACAAGGCCACATTGAAAGCCTGTTCTCTAACCTCTCGAACCTTTTTGCCGTCTTGCAGAAAGCTTCTCTTTGCGAAGATCCTTCTCGTCCCACCAGAGTACCAGAAGTACCCCAGCGCGGCCCAGTTTGAAACGCTGCTCAGATCGTCACCGCATCTTGGGCAATATGTGCGATATCTCCAAGTACTCGACGGTCATGCCGAAGACTTTGATTTAGGGAATGATGAATGGGACGATTGGCTGCCAAATGATACGTCCCTGAGCTTTTGCCTCCCGCATCTAGTCCAGCTCCGCGGATTGGTAATCAGCCACCGACAAGATATTCCATTTTGGAGTCTGCAGATGAGAATGATGGTTGAGAGTGGTCTTGTTGCGGCACTCATTGACATCCTGCGCCTCCCAAGCCTTAGACTATTCGAGATAGAATGCTTTCCAATTGGTTTTATACAGCTTTGCCAGAGCATCGACTATCTCGCGCTCTCTAAACCGGATTGGGCATTGATCGAGGACTTCGAACTTCCAGGTTACATGGAGGCTGACAAGCCGAAAGTTCGCTTAAAATCACTCTTTTTCGACACTATTGACTACATACCAAGTGATTCCGAGTCCAATTCCGAAAATGACCAACCTGAGGGTTATGAAGAGACTGGGCGATGGGTTATCTTGAGAAATATTCTGGAGAGAAGCTTTGATCTGACCACTTTGAAGAGGTTATCTGTGCGTGCAGATATGGATGTTCGAGGTCATCGTCAAGTTTGGACTTTCATGAAGCAATGCCTCACTACACTGGAGGAGTTCGTCTTTGTACCAGCTAGTGAAAGTGCGTTCGCAATATTTCCTTTTAGTTGATATTGTTCTTGTGCTAACGTTCTTTGTTTTCTTTCTTTTATGCAGTGAGATATGTTATGGAAGATCCTATCCAGTGGGATGAACTGTGGTTCTTAAAGTTCCTCGATGTCCGCATCGAATGTGAATATCACCAAGTACATGCCGGAGGGGTGGGCTCATTGATGTGGCTCATTCGTGCCCTCAAAGAAATGTCCTCTGCCAGTTCTGGTTCGCGTCTGGAGGGACTTGTAGTTCAGGTCAACTACGAATCGGATGATGAATGCATCGACGACGATCTGCACCCTTGGAAGACTCTCATAACGATGCTGCGTACCAGGGTTTACTTTCCTTATCTGAAAAGGGCGGAGTTGAGGATTGCGGATGCCGGAGAAAGGTCTGATGAAAATAATATGCCAGATATTGTCCCTCGTGTGGCTGACATGATAAAATTTCTGGACGCCAATGAGCATTCCACGGTAATATTTGACGTTTTTGCTGCCTGGAGTGAGTATTTTCGATTCAATGATTCTTTGGACTCTATAACTGAAGCTGTGCAAATTCTTAGGTGAAGACCAACATCCTGGATTCTCTCCCGACTCAGCTTGGAGAAAGACGACGTTTTTTAATCTGAAACATATGCCCTTGGGTTTAGTTGGTCCGCAAGCCTCCCCGGTATTGTAGTTCGTTCGCATTTTATTCACTTGAAAATTATTCGATGTATATATGTATTGCCACGTTACCCTATTGCTTACCATGTGTATTGTTTATATTAATAGAGAGTTACAGTCCCCTGCTTCCTCTTCAAGTTGAAACTCGAGCTAGTTCCTGCCATCACAGTATGCCATAGTACCAATGATGCAAATACTAAGTTCTTCACAGATGAGCCGTCGAATTTTTAGTTCTACAGAACAGATTATAAGCTTGAATTTTTCTAAATTGAGAGTGGGGATCCGCTGCCTGATCAGTGCTGGACCTCATCTTTCGCAAAGCGAAAACAGACTATCATAAGAAATTATAATTAACACAAGCAACTAGTAGGGAAAGCAACATTACATGGAGTGGGATGGAGAGCGGGAGAGAAGACGTGCGAGGAAAGCAAATAGAGACGCAAAAAATACAATACAAAAGA